GATTGGCCGTGCTAAATTGCCCCATAGTGCCCAGGGATGTGCAGGTTTGGGTGGATTGGCCGTGCTAAATTGTCCCATAGTGCCCAGGGATGTGCAGGTTAGGGTGGATTGGCCGTGCTAAATTGTCCCATAGTGCCCAGGGATGTGCAGGTTAGGGTGGGTTGGCTGTGCTAAATTGTCCCATAGTGTCCAGGGATGTGCAGGTTAGGGTGGGTTGGCCGTGCTAAATTGTCCCATAGCGCCCAGGGATGTGCAGGTTAGGGTGGATTGGCCATGCTAAATTGCCCCATAGTGCCCAGGGATGTGCAGGTTAGGGTGGATTGGCCGTGCTAAATTACCCCACAGTGCCCAGGGATGTGCAGGTTAGGGTGGATTGGCCGTGCTAAATTACCCCGTAGTGTCCAGGGGTGGGCCTGGGTTTGATTCTGTTTGGAGGGTTGGTGTGGACCTGATGGGCTGCATGGCCTGTTCCCACACTGTAGGAGTGATGCCAGCTTGACTTCCACAGTATTGGCAAGAAACGTGCTGATGTTAGATTGCTGACCTGAGTTCAGGACCCTGTATTTCATGTGTGCAGGGGATGTCCCGTTGTCGCCTTAAAATCCATCGCAGGATGGCAACAGTTTTCCAAATCGATTTCACGATTCCAGTTCCTTCTCAAGTCCAAATACAAAACCATAGAATTCTCCGTGACTTGAATGTCAGACATCATTTCAGAGTATAATTTTTATTGTTAAAACCTTTGCAAAGGATATTTAACGTGGTGCAGTTTGATTAAAACAGAGTAAAACTGGCTTATCTCAAAAATAAAATCAACATCCTGAACAAATGGAGTTTCAGTTGGGCTAACGTTGATCAATTCCACACACAAGTTCACATAAGATGAAGCAAATGTACATTTCGCGGCTGAAGCCAATACACATACATGTTCTCGGGAACTTTTTCATTATTTGAACAAAACATTTATCAACATAATTGTCACTTTATTTAGGTGCGAGGGTATCGCTGACCAGGCAGCATTTATTGTCCATCCCTAATTGCCCAGAGGGCAGTTAAGACTCAACCACATTGCTGTGGGTCTGGACTCACACGTAGGCCCAGACCAGGTAAGGATGGTAGTTTCCTTCCCTAAAGGACATCAGTGAACCAGATGGGTTTTTTCCCCCCCAACAATGGATTCACGGTTATCATTAGATTCATAATTCCAGATTCTTTATTGAATACACATTTCACCATCTGCTGTGGTGGGATTCGAACCCAGGTTCCCGGAACGTTATCTGGGTTTCTAGATTGACAGTCCAGCGATAATACCACTAGGCCATCGTCTCACCCCTTGTTTGATGATGCCACATTGACACACAGAGTGGAACATTGTGCTCCCAGAGGTGGGAATTTTCAAAGTGGGAACATACATAAAAAGACAGGATAATGTTGTCCATGAACTTTGATGCCTTTCCCATCTATGCCAGCATTAGGTTTTGGGCCCATTCAAAGCTGACCTGCCGCTGTTGGTTACCCAGTTGCAGTTGGTCACATCACCGTGCCCAGGTTAAACAGTACGAGCAACCCATCGCTTGGGGGCAAGGTGGGGACTGCTCACAGTCTTGCCCACTCATTCACACCAGAAATACCTCTCCTGGGCATCCTTCTGGGAGCAGTCACTGGCGAGTGGCTGGGTAATTCCCAGGCCTCAATTCCAGCCAGAGGCCTAACAAATACCCCAATTAATGTTAGATTCAGTGGGCTTTGACTGGAAGTGAATTTCTTTCTCCAGTTGGCTGAACAGACCACTTCTGTCTAGACAAGTTTCTGCCAGACCATGGGCAATGAATGATAGAGCTTCGTCTCTCAAAGGAGAACATTTTACACATCATGGCTTCCTAGTCCCAAGGCACTGAGGCCAAGTGGAGTAGCCTCCCTGGCAAAGTCATTTAGCAAGGACCCAAGACTGATCCCAGTCCAATCTTATTAAACTAAAAATTTACGTCTAACAACGGAACCATTGGAGATGCTAAGCACAGGTGATAGAGATGTACAGCACAGAAACAGGCCCTTCGGCCCAACTTGCCCATGCTGACCAGATATTCTGTGTTAATCTAGTCCCATTTGCCAGCGTTTGTCCCATATCCCTCTATACCCTTCCTATTCATGTCCCCATCCAGATGCCCTTTAAATGTTGTCATTGTACCAGCCTCCACCACTTCCTCTGGCAGCTCATTCCATACACGCACCACCCTCTGTGTGAAAAAGTTACCCCTCAAGTCCATTTTAAATCTTTCCCCTCTCACCTTAAACCTATGCCACTCTAGTTTTGGACTCCCCTACCCTGGGGAAAAGATCTTGGCTATTCACCCTATCCATGCCCCTCATGGTTTTATAAACCTCTATAAGGTCACCCCCTCAGCCTCCGACGCTCCAGGGAAAATGTACGAAAAATTATGAAATCTGAGTTGAGACCAGCTTCGGCAGGATGTCCAAGGATCCTATTTTTTAGCTTTGAGAAGTGTGTGCTATTACTACAGGTTAATGCATGATTGAATGAGTTGTGAGTAGACATGGTCAGTAAATTTGCGGACAACACCAAAATTAGTGGCATTGTAGACAGAGAAGACGTTTTTCTACGATTACAAAGGGATCTGGATGAAATGGATCAATGGGCTGAAACATGGCAGATGGAATTCAATCTGGCTAAATGCGAGGTATTGCATTTTGGTGCAACAAACAAGGGTAGGGCTTATAGAATTAATGGTAGGGCCTTGGGTAGTGTTCTAGAACCGAGAGAGACCTAGAGGGGCTCAGGTACATAATTCTTTGAAGTTTGCGTCACAGGTAGACAGGGCGGTTAAGAAGGTGTTCAGCACACTTGCCTTCATTGCTCAGACTTTTGAGTACAGGAGTTGGGGACGTCATGTTGAGGTTGTACAGGACGTTGGTGAGGCCTCTTCTGGAGCACTGTGTCCAGTTCTGGTCGCCCTGTTATAGGAAGGATATTATTAAACTGGAGAAGGTTCAGAAGAGATTTACCAGGATGTTGGCGGGAATGGAATGTTTGAGTTCTAAAGAAAGGATGGATAGACTGGAATTTTCTTCACTGGAATGTAGGAGGTTGACAGGCGACCTTATAAAGGTTTATGAAATCCTAAGGTGTATAGATAGAGTTAATTGTATTCGGTTTTTTCCTAAGATGGGGGTCTTCAAGACCAGGGGGCATATTTTTAAGGTGAGACGAGAAAGATTTAAAAAAGACATGAGGGGCAAATTTTTTACGCAGAGAGTGGGCTCGTGTGTGGAAGGAAGCGTTGGATGTGGGTACAGTTACAACGTTTAAAAGACATTTGGATAAGTACACGAATAGGGAAAGGTTTGGGAGGGATATGGGCCAGGAGCAGGCAGGTGGGATTATGGTCGGCACGGACTGGTAGGGCCGAAGGTTCTGTTTCCGTGACTGTACGAATCTCTAACTCTAAGTAGACCATACGCAACACGGCCTAGTTAAAGGAAAATAGTGTGGATGCTGAAGGCGTGCAGTAAAAACCGAAAAACTTTCTGTTCTCGTCTGCTACACCACGTCTGTTAACTGGACACTCAAGAACGTTGCTTGTCGTTGTGTCTGGGTTACACAGTTTGCTTCATCAACGATAGGTATGTTTCCTGGAGTGGAACACCAGTCCCATTGGCATCTTTGTCCTTTTCAGCACATTTGTCTGTCCTGGAAATAAATGAGTCAGAAAGTCACGAACAGTGATTGAAAAACACTCAAACCTCTCTCCCATTCTCACGTCTTCTTTTCATAAGTCCGCCTCGCAGTTAGGTCTACACAAAACCCTTTCTTCGGCCAGAATCTCGCATACCTCCCAGCGGGTGCAAACTGCGTTGTGAAGACTGTGAGAGCCTGGTGAGTTTCCAAAGCCTTTTAGCTGATCAGAATTTCCTGGATTAAGTGTGGTTGGGCAACAGGGCTAGAAGCTCTCTCTCCCAAGTAGGGAATCCCTACAGTGTGGAAGCAGGCCATTCGGCCCGTCACGTTCACACTGACCCTTTGGGGATTATCCCACCCAGACCCACCCTTACCACTGACCTGCACATCCCCGAGCACGATGGGACAATTTAGCACGGCCAACCC